TAAAGGTGCTTCACGATGCCATAGAAGAACCTTTTTGTCTAAATGGTTCCATAAAGAACCTTTAACATCTGAAGAACCTTTCTGTTTCACAAAAGGCTATTTGTGGCAAAAGAAGGTTCTTCAGATTATAAAAAGGTAAGAAAGAGATTGTTCTTTAAAGAACCTTTGACTGAATGGTTCTTTGTGGAACCAAAAATGGTTCTTCTATGGCATCGCTTGAAGAACGTTTTGAAGCACCTTTATTTTTAAGAGTGTATGCGTGCGCTCTGTAGGGATGTTTTGAATGGTTTTTGCAAAATACTCGATAATGTCAAATCGCACATCGTTAAAACAACAATTACGATATTATCGCAGACGATATATATCGCACACCCCTCCCTACTTGAGAGACAGACATATGCACAAACATATGATAGAATTCAGGTCAGGGCAAACTAATCTCAGGGTCTGTTTGGCTGTGAAATCGGAGAAAGGCATAAAGGAGTCATATTATATTAGCACACACAGAGCAAACATTCAAACTCATACATGCACACAGACCGATAAAGAGCCCCTATTTCCACAAGACATTAATTAAGTCTCAGAGGAACAATGAGGATTTCCCTTCCCAGACAAACAAGAGGAAACCTGAGGCCTTTATCACAAAAACATACACCAAAACTTCACACCTATGTATTTCAACAGTCATACAACTGTACTATTTCTGCACTAATACTGGACATTGTGCTGGTGAGTTGAGTTAAGCAGAATCAATTATCGATTAAAAACCTACAATATCATATTTGGGCCTTGTTGTACCATTATCTTGATTGTTATAAAAAAGTATATTGTCTTACCTGTACCAGGAGCTCCAATTTCCTGTCATCCAGGAGATGGACCTGACATCTCCGCCCTTCCGTCATCTGTTGTGGAGGGAGGGAGAGAGAGAGAGAGAGAGAGAAAGAGATTAGTGAAAGCACATTCACAGCAGGGTGAAATCAACTGTAAACACTAGGTCATGGTGACATGACAAAAATAGAAACTCTCCTTACACACATGCAGCACGATTCCCAGTCAAGCAGCAGAATTCAATCTCATTCTCTCCCACACACACCACTTTTAAACTGAATTATCTCACACATCAGTGCTGATGCGGAGTAGCATTTTTTTGTTGTTGAAGTTTTAAGTGTATTTTGATTTAACTCCTGGTTAAAATATATAACAACTGCAGACACACTTAACATGAAAATTCTTACTAAATTTAGAAATCAAATATTAGGCTATACAACAAATAATAAACAAGTAAAAAGCCTGCTGTTTCACTTACAGAGTGCTTACAGACTTTTATGGTCAGAGGTCAGAAATGAGATAATGGCTACTACTTTTCATCTAAAAAATAGTGCCATTTATATAAAAGCAACCAACCAGTTTATTTTGTTTTTACTTGTTGTTTAGGGTCAGGTTTATCTGAAACTGCTAATACCACAAGCTTTTTTTTTAAAGAGTGGCTTTTACATAAAAAGACCAACTTTGTAATCAAAATTCTGTTCTAGACACTAATGACTTTCATTTTATGTACAAAAAAGTCAACATTTTCAAAATATCTTTTTGTGTGTGTGTGTGTGTGTACTGCAGAAGAAAGACATATAGATTTGGAATAACATTGACTGCACAATGACAAAATATTCACTCAAAATTGCAGTTAACTACATAAAATCACTTTGTATCGTATATACGTCACGAGCACACACATCATACATAAGCTTCTATTTGAAATTCATCACCGCCTAGAGATCAGGGCTTACAGCTGCTGTTAATATCAGTGTTAATATAAAACTCCCCTCAACCACCACTAATTGATGAAAGAGGGATCGTGCCATGTCAGTCTGTATAGATACCTGCACCAGCGCACAATCTGATTAGTGCTTTGATTGCCATCTGCCATGGTTAAGAATATCTCTTTTTATCAAAGCCAGAGAGGACTGCTCATAATTAATATTAAATTGAGTCTGCAAGAAAAACAAACACACAAACAACACACTTTCCTCCAGGGTAAAATGAGTATGTGCATTCAGAACTCCTCCCGCAGGGCGCAGTTGGACATTCCATCTATGAAACATGTTTGGAGTTACTATCGTCTGCACGCTCATTTCGTTTGATCTCAAATCACTGCTCACTCCCACTCGCTTTCCATTCACTCTCACACACAATTTTTGTGAGTATTTACTTAAGATCGCTGCTTCTGTGCCAAGCCGTATAGTAAACATCCCATTACGAGCAGGTGGACAGACACATCTGTGAAGAACAGAGTCTGACTAACAGCCATGTCATCACGTGAGTTATACTGCCTTTAGGATTGAGCTGGTTTGACAACTCGAGTACAAAGAACCAAAGTGTAACCCGATACTCCCATTGTTCTTTTCCCTTCAAGAGAGCTTTTAATTTTTTGTTTATTTTCTCTTGAAGGAAAAAATGTTTCGAGGGATTTTGAGTCTGTGAATGTGATACTAACAGTGGCGGTAGTTCACATCCATCAGTGGACTCTCCGTCCGGTTCCTGTTTATACATCCTGTACGAGTCAGAATGCTATATCGCGCTCTTATTCTATCCCTCCATGCTTTCACACTCTCGTCCACCCCCTCTACCTCTATATGTAGGCCAAGTTAAAAGGAAAATGGAAAAAACGAAAAATACAAGACATTTCTTAAGCTTTTCAGTGTGATGGTGTATGTAAGGACATCAGAATGGGAACATGTGGAGCGTTCTGGCTGCCATCAGGAAGCGCCGTCCCTGAGGAACACAAACAATGAGGCTGATAAAAGCAGCATGGCTCACATTTCCTCCACGCACACGTGGGGGGAAAGACTGGAGGAGGGGAGTCACAGGACTAGAAACACATCCTTTCTTCCCCTTCTCCTCTGCCTTGTTCCTCAGTGGAGCTACACAACCTCAAATGCACAGGCATGTGACAGACCACATGATTAATTGTGTGAGTGCGTGTCCGAACAAACTGGTGTGAGTTTGTTATTGACCTGTGAAGATGTTTTACAGGGGGGCTTGGCTTGATGAATTTCTCTTGGTCGTGCTAACACTGAATCTAACTCCAACTCTATCTCCTAAAAGCTGATATCCTGTCTTCAGAATAACATGCCCTCAGGCAACATCCGTATTCTTATCCCTCAACCACTGAGTGAGATCACATTTCCATATAATAAAGACAAACCTAAATCAATATGAGCTGGCTCACCTGAATATGGTCCAGCCTTTAATGATGAGTTTTTTTTTTAAATGTCTAATTCCTTCCCTGGAGCTGCACATGACCCAATTAGGTCAGCTCATCTAACTTTCATGATATTCATTTATGAGAATAAATATGGTAGCATAATTGATCCAAACCACTGCAGCACCTTTACAACCATATACAGTATATATTTCAGTTTGGGGATGGGTAAAGACGGCTCACTAATCTACCAGTTGTCCAAAAACCAAATTGCTCCCCTTTAAAGTATCTTTATGTAAACGCCCCCTAAGAAACAAAAACCAGCCTAGTAATACAGGACTTTCTAAAAAAAAAAAATTAGCTGATTAGTCATTTGGGCAACCTAACAAATCTGACTGGAACATATGTAGAAACTGGAAAATATGTAGTTTTGTACATTCATGCTAGAGGTTAAGTTTAGGATTATATTTAGACTAAAAAAATTTACATTTCCCATCGACCACCTACTCAAAATGTAACCTATTAAAAATAATAAAATAAATGAATAAACTCTTATTTAAACATTCCTCATAGTTCAGTATCCTTGTATTAACACTTATCATAATTAAACACAAACTATGCTTTTTAAAAATGTGATCGATAACTAAAATAAATAATACTCAATCCTTCCTCAAAGTACAATATCCTTGTAGACATACTATCCTAATTAAACACTCTTTTTTTTTTTTTTTTTAATCTGCAGAATCCTATGGAATTGATTTAAACAGAGCATTATACACTTTCTGGCAGCTGAAAGCATATTCAAATCAGCCAAAACATTTAATAAACAAACAGTGTGGTGGGAAGTGCAGAACTGTGAATGAGGATTGTTCCAATCCTGTGGAGATTTGTGAAGCTTTTTGAGGGCACAGATTCCACGTGGGCCTGCTCATAACAAGCAAAAGATGCAGAACCCAGAAGCCAAACTTTGTGGTGGCTGATATTGGGTTGACTTTCCAAACTTAAAGGTTAAACTTTATTACCGACCTTGCGGTAGCCCAAAAGCACTGCAGTTTGGTTACATCATATTAAACCTCTTAAGGTCTGAGTCAGGCTTGATAGGAACACTTCCCACCACACAATAGAAGATTAAACCTGAGGCTTTGAATGAAGCAAACAGCATGCTGGTGATGGGAGCACATCCTTACAGCCTGAAGCTCAAGATGTCACACCTCCGCTCCACTGAATGAGAACGCTCCTCACTAGGGTGTATCTGGAGGGGGAGGTGAACAGCTCTTAACCACAATCCCAGAATCTAACAATCAGGTGCTGGGAATAGTGTGTTAGCAGAAGTGTGTTTGTATGCTGCATCTGGTGTGGGGTTACAAAATGCCTCGCCTGTAATCACTGAACGGTGAGTCACTTCTTCCTCAGCTGAACTCCAGTGCGCCACACTGCACTCACAATGCCCTACGAACCTGTGATGTCATTAAAATCACATAACACACACATTTCAGTCAGTGTAATCTTTGTAAATCATTGCCATTGTTTTATAGACAAAATAGAAGGGCTGCACAATTATATGGCTTAGTGTGATTTAATTAAATTATATACACTGCATGTTTCTGAGTGAAGCATGGCACTTTGTTCTTTTACACATGAGCAACTCATGATCCATTTGCAGTGTCTCGGTTCACAGTAAATGCTGCCATACAAGCTCATCTCTGCATCTTCTCTGAGTTTGGGTCGAATATGGGAACAAAATGTGCCAACCATCTTCCCAAACTTGTAATGACAACTTTATAAGCATTTGTCCACAAAATAGAAACTGTAAGGCCTCCCTGCAATTTTCTGCCAAAATAAAAGCTTGATGGTTTAACATTTGAAATTAAGAAAGGCATAAATATTAGTATTGCAATTTTACAGTTGTACTGTAAACTATTATCATTGTTAAGCATTATTATTAATGTTCTAATATTTTTCTTTTTTATTTTGCAGTGAAGCATTATTTTATAGTCACATTGTGCAGCCCTATAGTCAAGCACAGCAAACGTGGAGCTTTCAAAATAATTGCAAAATTGCAATTAGATTCCCCCAAAATCATGCAGCCCTAATAATAAGGTGCAGCTACTCTGATGCACATTGCAGAAGAGACGATTACAGCGTAACATAATCTGATCTGATGATAACCCCACTCTCTAGTGCAGATTTAAGGTTGACCCTGATGCACTGTTTAGGGTTTCATTGCGCTTTATCCGTACTAAAACCTAAGCTACGTTAGCTTCACATGCACTGTCAATGAGCAGTATGATGTGTAGAAGATAGAGATATAAGAGCATTTGTAAAAGCAAATGATAAAAGTTTAGGCGACTGCAGGTCTGGTTTTCATGCCTGACCGTGTGTGCTAGAGTACATCAGCCTGCTGACACTGCTGCCCTGCAGTGCAGACATCACAGGCTGAGCAGCACAAAAAAAAGACATCCGTCACCCTGAACCGGCAGGACCACAGCTGCCTAGACAGACACAGCCTAGTCTGCTTTGTTTACTGTCTGTAGACAGACCCCAATTCCAGGCTGTGCCTCAAAACCTAATGGGCTGGCTATATAGACAGCCTTTTCAGGCCATTTATGATGCCAAAAAATGTTGTCTAGGTAGGAAGCTCACATCTCTGCAGGCATTTGCATCCTATGAAGATGTCATAGGACACTGCTACTAAATCAAATA